CCCATATAAGGATCGGACCTGACCACACTGGATGGGCGTCGCCATGGTTTCTGGTAACTAGGCAACGTTTTACATAAAACCTGATGCCTAGRGGGGGAGGSKTAGTTAGATTTTTTGTGATGAGTATCGYTTTTTTTGTATTCAGGTAGCAGTTGAGGATCCTAAGACAGASGACGTTGTGGTTTTYACWTGTAACCGCTCAATTGACACAGAAAAATGTGAGTAGATTTTGACCAAGGAAATATTTATACAAATGAAATTTTCTCTCAATTACTTTTTGTCGAATAGTTTGTTTACATTTCGGTATTAACATATCATTAGCATAAGGATATAACGTTTTAACCTAACTATCAGTAAATCAGCACTGAATATTGAAACAACATGGCACAATAAGCTTTCCTCGCAAAGGAACTTTGCGTCAAACGGTTTTAAAAACTCCAATTTTTAGAGAGATTATATGGTCTACTTTTGCCACTTAGTAAACTAGCATCTTTGAACGCTAATATCTCATAAACTATTGCATGTAAAGACCTCAAACTTTCGTAGTTTGTAGTTCTTAATAAGACCTTTTACGTTATGAACTTAATTTAAACTTTATGCTAATTAGCAAAATTTTGTAAACAAAGATCCGCCTATTCATCAATACCTTTAATGCACTTCAATTTCAGTGAATTCCCCTCACATCTACTACCCCTCTCACACCAATGACGTCGATGACCTGTTGGCCTTGGAGGCCGATACCTCTGAGGACTGGAAACTAGTGAAAAAGACCAAAAAAGCTATGATTTTTCGTAAAAAATCACCCGAGAATGATCTCGTCCCGCCAATTATAAAGGTAAGGCCCTTCCACATGTTGATTTGCGTGTTTTGTCGTCCACATGTACACATGATACAAACTTTGTAAATATACAAGTCACAAATGCCAAAATAGATGACAATAACTGAGTTGAGTGCTCTTTTTCTTTCTTTTGAGGCTGATCTGCATCTTCAAGGAATTCCTTACAAAACAGGTAAATTTACGGCAATCTGGAGACCAGTGGTCTGCTAACGCAGCATTGACTTCCGCTGGATCAAAAAAGTGCGGTCTCTGGACACGAGAATAAATGAGCGAATCTATAGATGAAGCAGTCGACTGAGTTTCCAGCAGTTTGCCGTCTGTAAGAGGGTCTCAATGGGGTGGTACGCATCACGACTCACGGCTAGAAATTTGGCGATTTCACGACTCACGACTAATTTTTTCGAATCACGGTTAACTAGATTACTTTTAGAAATTTTTGAGTTACGTTTTTCATTGCTTTTTTCTTTTTTCGTATGAATAGACTGCGTGACTTATTCGTACGGACATGGATTTTTCTATTTCAAATGAGCCAAAATGCGACTATTTCCGAGAAAAAATGATTAATCATAAATTTATAATACACAAAAAAAAATCCAAAAAATGTTAAACATAGCAGGTATTGAGAACATATAGTGACATTGCTGCAGTCCGTGTCTGACATCGGAGTTTACGAAATTTCATTAAGCGTCGCTTTTCGCGATGATGTATTCTATGCCGGGTAAATGTGCATGGTAAAATCAGGAAGTTTGTAGCGTATTCATATTATTATTTGACCCTAAACAAAATTATAGTATTTTNGGGGTAGTTAGATTTTTTGTGATGAGTATCGTTTTTTTTGTATTCAGGTAGCAGTTGAGGATCCTAAGACAGACGACGTTGTGGTTTTTACATGTAACCGCTCAATTGACACAGAAAAATGTGAGTAGATTTTGACCAAGGAAATATTTATACAAATGAAATTTTCTCTCAATTACTTTTTGTCGAATAGTTTGTTTACATTTCGGTATTAACATATCATTAGCATAAGGATATAACGTTTTAACCTAACTATCAGTAAATCAGCACTGAATATTGAAACAACATAGCACAATAAGCTTTCCACGCAAAGGAACTTTGCGTCAAACGGTTTTAAAAACTCCAATTTTTAGAGAGATTATATGATCTAATTAGCGCTTTTGCCACTTAGTAGACCAGCATCTTTGAACGCTAATATCTCATAAACTATTGCATGTAAAGATCTCAAACTTTCGTAGTGTACAGTTCTTGATAAGCCCTTTTAGGTTATGAACCTAATTTAAACTTTATGCTAATTAGCAAAATTTTGTAAACAAAGATCCGCCTATTCATCAATACCTTAATGCACTTCAATTTCAGTGAATTCCCCTCACATCTACTACCCCTCTCACACCAATGACGTCGATGACCTGTTGGCCTTGGAGGCCGACTCCTCTGAGGACTGGAAACTAGTGAAAAAGACCAAAAAAGCTATGATTTTTCGTAAAAAGTCACCCGAGAATGATCTCGTCCCGCCAATTATAAAGGTAAGGCCCTTCCACATGTTGATTTGAGTGTTTTGTCGTCCACATGTACACATGGTACACACTTTGTAAATATACAAGTTACAAATGCCAAAATAGATGACAATAATTGAGCAAATAGTATTCAATTGTTTGTTGACTGCTATTTTTCTTTCTTTTGAGGCTGATTTGCATCTTCAAGGAATTCCTTACAAAACAGGTAAATAGACGGCAATCTGGAGACCAGCGGTCTGCTAACGCAGCATTGTCTTCCGCTGGATGAAAAAAGTGCGGTCTCTGGCCACGAGAATAAATGAGCGAATCTATAGATGAAGCAGTCGACTGAGTGTCCAGCGGTTTGCCGTCTGTAGGAGGGTCTCAATGGGGTGGTACGCATCACGACTCACAGCTAGAAATTTGGCGATTTCACGACTCACGACTAATTTTTTCGAATCAAGGGTAACTAGATTACTTTTAGAAATTTTTGAATTACGTTTTTCATTGCTTTTTCTTTTTTCGTATGAATAGACTGCGTGACTTATTTGTACGGACATGGATTTTTCTATTTCAAATGAGCCAAAATGCGACTATTTCCGAGAAAAAATGATTAATCATAAATTTATAATACACAAAAAAAAATCCAAAAAGTGTTAAACATAGCAGGTATTGAGAACATAGTAGTGACATTGCTGCAGTCCGTGTCTGACATCGGAGTTTACGAAATTTCATTAAGTGTCGCTTTTTGCGATGATGTATTCTATGCCGGACTAAATGTGCATGGTAAAATCAGGAAGTTTGTAGCGTATTCATATTATTATTTGACCCTAAACAAAATTATAGTATTTTAAAATCGATATCTTATATAATTACTTTAAAATGTCAGATATATACCATGTCCGTACGAATAGCAAACATAACTCGGACACTCTGTTTAAAAATTGTTCTCGGTTGCGCAATCGCCGCGCTGTGAAAACTTATTATACGTTTAATGAAAACAAGCCAATGAAAGCGCGCTTTAAAATATCACATTATAGAAAATATATAGAAGTAATTACTAAATGATTCTGCAGATTTTGTAATTAAACATTAATG